GAATAGATAGCGTATACGGAATCAGGAGGCAAGGGAAAGAGGCAAGGCAACGAGGACCCCTTACAGTAGAGCGTCCCATATAACGAGAGAGAGAGAGGGAGTGTTCTTCCTTCTTTCTTTCCCTCCTCAGATTTGTCCTCCTTGTTACTCGGTTGGCTAGCTAGTTGCAGAACTCTTTCCAAACCCACACATGACGGTTCTGTACGTATTGGCTCTAATATGTACCTTCTCTCGTCAGTGGGGCCTAGTACTCTGCTCTTGGCCCATTTCGGCCATAAAATCTCTGACTATGATCTTGCAGCCTGGATCCGGTAGGGCGCCATGATCGCCATTGATGGTATAGAGACGGCCTTTGCTCTGCAAGTCGCTCAACACCTCAGGGTCCGGCTTGCCGACAACTTGGTCATCTTTGGCAATGATGACCAAGGATCGACGTTCTCCGGAGAGTGCATCATCGAACTTGGCTTCTGGAAATGGGAGCCTCTCCAACGCCCATTGTACCAACGGACGTAAGAATCTTGGACCGGTCACGTTCTGTCGACCGAGATAAGGCATATATAGGCAAACAGGCCACTTCTTCTCATGCTTTAACGCTAGTGATGCGCCGAACGACCTCCCGAATGGGACGATCTTGTAGTCTGTGAATGTTTTGGGTAATGAGCTCGTTGCATCTTCATCGAGAGGTTTTACCTCCAGTATTCTATCATTCCTTCGTACCATGCGAGGGTCGAAATGAGTCCAATCGAGCACATCCGGCTCGAAAATCTGCTTTTGGATAGCGGCCGGTATGACGTTTAGAAGTTCATCGAACGTTGCCGCCGCGGCTGTTGACAAGGGCTGAGACCGATCCTGGTCGATGGTTCCATATCCAAAAAAATTGACCAAGATTAGGTCTGTATCATTTCCAAGCAAAGACCAGAATTCGGTATATAGGGCGCCGACGGCTTTGGTCTGTCCGTGGTAACACACGGAAACCACTTTGGACGTGGACGACTTGGCACGTAGGTAATAGAGCTTGATGGAAAAGCCCTTTATTTTGAGGTCCAACAAAATTGGTTTGGGACGATCTTCATCTATGTCAAGGTCCCAGTATTGGGGTCTGCTCTTGTAGCCCCCTAGCCACGACTTGGCGTTGAAAGATGCTGGTAGAAACCATTTTTCTGACGGATAGAAGCCGAGGGCGGCGGCTAGTAGAGTGAAAAATTGCACAAAGATGGTTTTCATGTTTTCGGGTGATACTGTTGCAAGACACCCACCACGAGGAATGGATGCAATGTTATATGAGCCCGATAGGCGGTAGCGCAAAGGCTGGACAGTCAAGGTTAGGCAAGTGCGAGGGCGGGTAGTGCAGGGCCACCAGCCCAGCACAGCCTCCTTATAGAACCAAATCCGGGGGCTCCGCCAACGATCAGTACCGCCACTTCATCACGCTAGTGATCGGAGAAATCCACGCATTGTCGCGTGCGCGACCTTCGTGGTGTTCAAAACAATGTCTTGGCGTACCGTATACATAGCGGGATAGCCTGTGGACGTTCCACTCGAGAGACCCATGTGGCAGGACTCGGGAGAGGGCTTTCCTGGCCACTGCGATTCGGGATATAAAACGATCGAGCACGGCCTGAGACTAAGCACAGGCAGAGAGGACATTTCAAGACTACCTCTGAAATCGGGGGCGGCGAAGACTTCTAGATTTTGATTGGTCGGTCGATCCGAGGCCGATGCCCGACGCCGGCACTGGTCAAGGACACTATCTGACAAGCAACTAGTTCGATTGGAGGCTTCATGCATGTCCCCGTAAAGTACTCCGTATGCTGTTGCCCTACCACTCGGCGAGCCACCTTCTTCAATAATCACCCAGCCGCTTTGAGAGCCCTACAGAAAGCTAGACGTTGACAGAAGTTCCTTTCCCTAGACCCCTTGAATAAGGTTTCGTGCATCTACATTCATGAATCGTACCAGAAGCTTAAATCGTAGTAGCGAACGGCCCAATACACCGCCATCTCGGGGAACGGCTCATCTCCCACTCCGCACGCCTAGACCATCCCAGCAAATCTGATGTACCCATACTGTGATGGTGGAAGGCTAGAATGACCACTGTTGGATATTTGAACTTCCCCCTTTTGGTCCTTGATGCAGAAGGGTGCTGGTGTCATACTTCCGCAAAAGTGGTTCGGCATGGATCTCCTTCGCTTTAAGCCTCCGCTCCAGCCGGTTGCAAGGCGCACAGCAAGGCACACAGCAAGGCGCACAGCAAGGCGCACAGCAAGGCGCAGCCAGACGCACACCCAGGCAGACACGTAGCAAAGATAGGCGCATGGCAAGGCGGACGATGGTGGAGGTCACTGTTATTATTTGCCTCTCCTAAAGCCCCCCGTCGACCACTTCTTCATTCTTGAAAACGAAGAGCCAACCTCCCCTACTCCTACCCTCTTTCTTCCCACCCCGAGGCCGGAGGAAGCTTCCTTTGGACCTCTAAGCCAGGCTCCAACCCTTTTACAGTTCTGAGTGCTAACGACAAGCTAGGGAATAGAATAAAAAACCCTCTCCCCTACAGCCGCGCCCGGCCGCCAATTGTCCCCACCCCTATCTATCCAACATCCTGATTAATTCGGCATATCATCGGGCAATTGATACACTCAAAATGCATCTCTTTCTCGATGAAAAGTTGTGAAGAGGAGGAGTAGAAACAAAGAGTGGAGAAGAGACCGTCGACACTTTTGACACGGCCCCACGATCTAACTACCCAGCTCCTCTGAGATCTATACCACCGAAACTCACCTCCGAAAAGCGAGTCGATCGAAGCGACAAGGCCTCGAGCAATCTCTACAATATTCCCTTCGTTTCGCTCTATTGAGGTGGCTTCTTTCGCGGACCTGACCTATATCCTTCGCGCGTCTCTATGGCGCATACGAAAGGGATAAGAGGCCTGAAGGCGTGATCGGTATTACGAATGGCTCTTCTCAAGGAAACAAAGAGGAGGAGATAAAGAGGAGGAAAAAAGTTGAAAGAAAATAACGGAAGAGCCACTCCATTGCGGGCGAAAAACATTGCTTCAGACCGTCCCGGGATTATCGACGAGGCTATTGGCGGGAGCACTTTCAACGGCACACAAGCGCGCAGGTCTATGATCGGTCCGATCTTTGCCAACATCCTCTCCTCGAACTATATCTGTTTGTGACCTGGCCTGGATGGCCACGACGGTAACACGTTGTTGAAAGATTACAGTATTGTTGATACTAGCAGCTGATCCCCGCCACCCTTGGGCGCCCATCGAGGCTCTGCGACCGAAATCTCAACAACTTCAAAGGAGACCCCGCAGTTTTGGCGATTGCAACTCGCGACCATAGAGTCCTATTCAATATCTATACCGAATCGACTGGGCCTCATATCAACCAATTCCTCTCGCGCGCGCACCCGACCCACACCAGGCTTTCCTCCTACTCCCCCGCTTTGCACTACCCCGTCTGTCTGGTCCGGCTATAAGTCGATCCGAAGGCACAGATGCAGTTTAAGCTCCATATTCGTCGTTGCCACGGGTGGCAATTACCTGGGCGGTATTTACGGGACCCGTATCAGCTCGGTATCTACTCGCGGGTCGCGGCCTAGCCACTCGTGAATTTCGAGGGGACCCGGCACTTCTTGCAGTCACCCACCTCCAGTTCATCTACAGTCCGACAGTTCTTCAATCACCATATCCTGGCGGTATTGGGGGATAGAAGAGAGTACCCACAAACAACGGCGTCGACCCGTCAAGTTATGGCTACCATCCGGGGTGCTCCAACGCCAAGTACTGCATTCGCCACGGCTCTAATTGATCTCTTGACCAAGAAGTCGCTCTCGACGCTTTGGCCCTTCCTGAGTCGGGGGCAACGGCTTCGAGTTGCGTCCGGGCTAAGCGATAACGACTTTGACGGCAACTTCTATGGCTGGCACATGCCTGAGGATCCAGACGTTCGAACGGCTGAAGCACTGCATATGGAACCGGTCAAACGGCTCACGTAAGTAACTGACACGGTGGCTATTGTTTGACGGATGATGTACCGGACGCCTCTATCTTATCGCTGTTACCACTACCCGCCCCCTCCAACACTATTACAAATAGCCGTCACACTCACGTCTAGTCACAGGAACCTGGCCATGACGGGTCATACTCGAGCCACTGAGTCCTCCGACGGCTTCACCAAAGATCTGCTTGCACAGATCGTGTCGTTCCCCAAACAATCACTCCGAAGCGTTGTTCGCGAGAACAACAACATCAACACCGAGACGTGCGTGTGGCTCAAGCTGGCGCCTCGGATCTTCCGACAATCAATGAGGTCTTCTCGAACGATCGGCTGGGAGTCGATATCTGCTTTCCATGGCGGTAGATCTTTTCTTGGTCGACAGATCCGTACAGGAATGAGAACACCGACTGAATCTGAGGCTTGTGCAGAGAATTGAACCAGTCATGTCGACCCTAATACTCCATGCTCTCCCTAGACCACCCTTCCATCTTATCAGTCCCGATTCGACGAATCAAACCCGTTTTGCCTCTACCGGTTCCACGCCGTTCTCTGCCCTCCACCGTGTCCTTCGATTCTTCAGCGATGGATCTATGAGGGTTGACCGCTGAGTGGGTGCAATTGCGGCTGTTATGCTCACCAATGAGATTGAAGGCGCACCTGGCATTCATCAGCCCCGACTCGAGCTTTCGGCGAGTGATTCGCCTGATTGTGTGCACCACATCCGTAGCCGTGTTATCTGGCCTAGACGGCGTTTCGAGGCGAGCGGTCATCAGAGCTCAACCGATAACGGACCACAATGAAACGCACCTTTGACTGCGATCTTTACCGTTCATTCAGATTCCCAAACTCATTGAGCAAGGAATTCAAGCGTTCAGGCGACACTTTTAGGGTCGTCAAGGTCGTTTTCAGCCCGTTTGACGAGAATGGCATCGGTCCATCTACACCGAGCTTAATATTGTTGAGCTACATTTGGACCAGTACAATCCCCTGCTCCACTTTCACAAGCCCACTTTGTTGTTTCTTTGAGCTTTTTCGATCAGAGACGTCGGAACTGACGCCAGGCCTCTAGCATCTACCAGGTACCTTAGTGTAGCCCTAACCCCCAAACCCCCAATATCTCCAGCGTCGTTGTGAATGTCGAAGACTTCTGTCTCGCGTGTTGTCCAATCGGGACGATCTTCTCGGGCATGCTCTTGCAGTTCCCGAAATCTGGTCCACGGTACCAGTTGATCCCGGAACGACTTGGTAGGTTTCAGCTGGGGTCTCCCAGAACTGATGTATTTCGTCGTTCATTTCGATAACGTCACAGGCCGGGAAGCCTAACAGTCCCTACCTCGACATCAAATCCAGCGATGTGAAGGTGCCAAATGGATCACGAACAAATAAAGGTCTCCGGTCGCGCCGGCATCTGAAGCCGCGAGGCTTCTCGTGTGAGATGACCACCATCAGTGCATATAAGACAGTAACGTGCCTTCCCACATCAAAACGCCCTATGTCGAAACAGGAATCTAGAATATCGATCTACAAGGGCGTGGAGTTGTCATCCGGAGAATCCATCGAAGTTTTAGCGCCTGAAATCGGCGTGCATAGCCTTTTCGGCATCCTCTTGCGGGCACACAGTTCCCTTGGTCGGTTCCCACTCTTCTTGTGGCGCAGCCCAATTTTCGAAAGTTACCAAGTTCAGCACAAGATGAAATGACATTTTTTGCATTGTAAGTAATCTACTGGTAGCTGCTAGAATTTACCATAAGATCAATTTGTCACAAGGATGTGGACAAGACTAGAGTAATGGCATATTCGATTGCTTACCAGTAGCTACTGGGAGCTACTGGTTGATCCTGTTCCGAGCTCAACAGCGATGCCAGGACTGCAGTCCTTAGTCGGACTGCAGTCCTACCAGCGACAAGGACTGCAGTCAGCAGTCCTGACTGCAGTCCCTTAGTCATCCGCAAACGGAGCGATCTGATTAGTGGGACTAGTTTGAATCTGCAACCTGATATAGACCTTGATCAATCCAGTGTTTCAGGCACTGCGCCGCCTCAAAAGACCTCGCTGAAAGGCGATTACGATCGGCTGTTATCGTTCTCTTTGACTGACTGAAGATCCTCTCAAGTTCTGTAGACATTGCAGGTATTGATAGAGTGTCAAAAGCCCACTGACGAAGGCCAGGGAAGTCGCAGGTAGACCACCATTGGAACAGGTTTTTATCGCGCCAATCTGTAAAAGGCGTTGGTCGAGCATTGATATATCTATAGAAGTCGTCCTCGATCGCAGGGGCCTCGGACGCTTGCATTTGCGTAATAAATGCACCAAGAGACGATTGTTGAATAGGTAGAACGCTCTTAGGCGTGTTTTGCCTGTAGATAACCTCCCAGATTCGGCGATTCTTTGCGATCATAGGTTCGATCTGATTTGCGGCCTCGTTGGTCCAGGATCGCTTAAAATACTGAAGGCGAAGACAAGGATTGAGAAGAGCGCCTGCCGCATAGATCTCGTGGTTCCTGTCTGTTAGATCGTTATAGATTTGCAGGACTTCCCAGGCGTTTTGATAACAGACGATCAGAGGGTCGACACCAGTTGAATGCTGTTGTGTCCCTCCTCGCATTCGTTGTGTTTGACTAGATTGGCGCTGTCGACTAGCAGTCATGAAGTCCTCAACGTGACAACTGAGCATATCTAGCACTGGTAAGGCCTCCCAGATCACTCCGTGAGAGCCGTTGGTGCCAGTGCCTTCAAGTCTTAGTGTTGTCTCCCAGAATGGCCTGAGACCATCGTAGATCGCCTGTAACTGCCGCTAGTCCTCCTCCGATAGGATATCGTCTTCTATAAAGTCTAGCGCTTGGAGAACATAGATCTTAAGGGCCTCCTTGAGTCTGAGGCCTCTCTGGATAGCCAAATAGGCAGAATTCCACCTGGTAACGTTGTCAAGGAGTGGTAGGAGATTTGGCTGTAAATCGCCAAATTCAGGAGTAGATATTTCGCTATCCACGCTTACTAGATTAGGTAGGTTAGCCTAATTCTAGCCACTTAGATTATAAGGAAATAGTGGGATATTGCCTAATTAGGTAGTCTAGCCGAGTTCTGACGTCAGGGATTAATTAACTTACTATCGTCGCCACCACCACCTTGAAGATTCATCTGACTTATCACTATTTTGACCACTGCCTGAAACTGCTGTCGACGTTAACTAGAGCCTCTGATGAATCTGACAGTATTGTGAAACTTGCCAAACGACCCTTTCGTCCTCTAGAGAGCCTGTTCCTCAGCGAGGGCCTGTTGATCTCGAGTTGACAGTTCCTGCGCAAATTCAGCGGCGTTGACAAAGACCTCGTTACCCTTGCCATAAATGAAAGCCTGAGCTGCGAGATTAATGATATGACCTAGGCAGCGCGATCGACGAGAGCCCTCCTCTTCATTTGGGTGAAAACGCCTAACTAACGCTTTGCAGGCTGTGTGACAATTGGCGGCGTTATCTGCGACGTATACACCCAGTTTTCCCTGCAGTTCAAACTCTGCGATTACCTCTGCGATCGATTCTGCGATTCGCTCTCTAGTGTGGGATCCTTCTATCAATCGAAGCCCTAGTAGAGCCTGTCGCAGTTCAAGACGATTATCAAGAAAATGACCATAAACCCCCAGTATTGGCTGCGCTGAAGGCGAGGTCCAGATATCAAAGCTTATATGAACGGAGGATCGACTGGTCTGTAACAGGTACTTAACCTGTGCCCTTCCTTTGTCGAACTCGTCGCTGACCTAAGCGCCAACCGTTGTGTGCGATTTGATTAGGTACCTTTCAAGCGCTGGTTGAAGATATACCAATAACGCCCGAAACTCTGCGCGTTCCACAGCGGAATAAGGGATCTGTTGCTGCACAATCCACTGGATAAGTAAGTTCCTGAACTGATCGATATCACACCTGGTCACCAACGACCTGAAGATCGACGGCGTCTGTTGCGCAACTGGCGTCGCAACTGGTTGCGGAGTGGCTAGATCCTGACTAGCAACGCTGGTCTCGTCGTCATCCTGGTTATCTGATCGCGCGCGTTTACTAACGATTCCGTGGTCCTGTCTCAAGTGGCGATTGACGTTCGACGAGGCGCCGTGTTTGGTAGTTGAGATAACAGCGTCACACAGATCACAGATCCACGACCTGGAACTTTCCTCGTTTTTACTATTGGTGTATTCCTCGCCATACTGCCAGATGTAAGACGATTGAATTCCCCGGCGCCGATTAGGTTGATGCGGCATGAGAGACCATGTTCGAGCACCGATCCGCCTACTATTGGCACGCCGCGATGGTGTCGAACTACTCGATGATCGAAAAGCGTTGGATATCGATGGCGAGGGCGATTCGATACTAGGTTGTATGGATTCCGACATTTTCACACATAATTTGCTAATAAAACAGTTGTCTCAGGTACCAAACGATATTCTGTGGGCTCTGCCAAGGTGCCAAGCCTGACTGCAGTCCTGGCAACACTGGAGCTCAAGCTCTTTCTGTCGCAACTGGAGGTCCTTTTCGCGTATAGCCAGCTCCCTTTCTCGAAGCTACAGCTCCTTCTCACGAGCTTCTAGTTGTTGTTGATAACGCTCATCTTCTAGGGAGATAATTAGGCTTACTGATGTGGTTGTGGCCTGGTAAAGGGAAAGATTGGGAGGGAGCGAAAGAAATTGAAAAGACACGCGTGTGGCGCGCCAAGCGTTCCCTTCCTAAAAAGGACTAGCCTATTCTACAAATTCTACTGGTAACTACTGGAACTGCGCCACAAGAAGAGTGGGAACCGACCAAGGCAACTGCACCCCCATCCTCTTGCACCGCTTAAATCAAAGAACACAACCAGTAGGAAGTTGGCCGCCTACCGACGCCCAACGTAGCGCCCGAATTAGCGGCGTCGAAAGCCC